ACACTACATCCGAATGGATGCATGCACTTAGATGCAACACACTGACTGCACTGTCACTGTCACCGTCTGGCCTGATGCCTGCGTGCGCCGCGCAAATTGTTGGCTGGGACACTAAAGGGGTCAGTTCCATTAGCTGCCCTGCCTAAGTGCTCTGGTCCTGCAGTAGCCAACAACAAACAAACGACTCCAACGATGTGTTTAAGCACTATCTGCAGAATAAGGTCACTTGGCCGTCCGCGATGGCGCTTCTAATCATGTTATGGCCTTCAAGCTAATTCCAGCCCGTTGCAGCAATCCTGTAGCTGGCGCATCGGGAAATTCCTCCTTGCCTTTGCGCCTGCAGCAAAGATCCCTACTTGTATCGCAAACCATCTTCCTCCTGCAGAGCGGCCTGTCTCAGCCGACCTGACGATCCGACGTTGACTTACACACACAACAACATTAGACGAGACAAGAAGCAGGTGCAGAGCCTCCCTGTTGCGACCTTTGCCTGGCTATTACTACGTATTACATCCCTACTCCGCCAGCCATTTAGGAATGTCTATCGACTGAAGGCGCACACTCGGCAGCTCCAGCTCCAGCTCCAGCTCCAGCTCCAGCTCTTCAGCTGCTCCTCCTTCTCCCCCGTTGTGAACATCCCATCCCACTTTTACGTCCAGGTCATCTGCCTGTTGCCGTTCCCCGTCTTGCCTGTGTGCGCGTGTGCCGCAGGTCAGGTCCCAGTCAGTTTGCAGTGTCCTTCCCAAGTTCCTGCCTACCTGGCTTGAGTGCTTGGTTGGTTTTAACAATTAAATGAAAACCTTGCCTTCCTTGTCCTGTTTCGTTTATTCGTCCCTTCGTTTATACACCCAGCCCGCTGCGCGCATGCCGATTTGCTGCTTGCAGAGGCCCCAATGCTCCTGCCGTCGCAGACATTAGACGACGATCTGGACCTAGCCCGCAAATATGGCTCCTTGGTCGCAACGTCATGCTCCACCTCCTCGTCCTCCTCCTCTCCGTCGACCTTCCGCCGATGTTATCTCTCGGATACACAGCCCCTCCTCTTTAACTGCACCGCCTGGCCAGCTGGGACGACTGCCAGACTATGTGCTTTTGGATAATTCCCAACTGCATGCCGCCGACGAGAGCTCTTCCGAATCCGACTTCCACCCCAGACGTCCGCGGCGACCGACCCATTCCCGATCCATGAGCCACCCCTTTCCAGCGCTGTTCTCCAAAAAGAAGCGCCCTGAACCCACGACCTACGAGACCGACTCCGACTCCGATGATGCGCCCGTCATGACCAAGCCATTGGGGAACACGCAGAAAAACACACACAAGCGCGGTGGTGCCAACGGCAGCAGAGATGGCGGCAGCAGAGACTTTGCTACAGGCAACTGCATGACTTGCGGTTCCCTCGTGCGCTGGCCGCGTGACCTGAGGGTCTTCAAATGCACCGTGTGCCTCACCATTAATGACCTCCCTCCCGATCAGCAAGCGAGGGCCAACGCTGTTCCCAAATGGCTTCAGCGCCCGTCCCAGGATTCAACCTCGCCCCAGAAGCAACCTCCCCGCCCTGCCGACCGATACGAGGCCAGGCCCATTTCCCTCGACCAGACTAAGAGACTGATCCGGCAATGCATTCGCAACCACTTGACGAGAGCCATTAGGAGGACCTCGAGCTTTGAAGATGAGCGCCGCGAAGTTCTCGAGAAGCACCTGGCCCCTAGCCACGCGGACAATGGCGACCGCCCATGCACCTCGCGACAAATGGGCCCCGGACTTCACAGGCGGCAGAACAGTCACGACAACAGACCGGCCTACCTTTTCCCAGAACAGCGCACGCTGCACCCAAACCCACAACGAGTGCCCCCACCGTCCAGATCCTTCTCCTCTTCATATCCGGAACGGCCCCCCTCCATGCGGCAACTCGCGGCCGACGCTAGTGGACCCCGGCCCGCGGACCCGAGATGTTGGCAAGCTGATGATCCGAAGAGAATCTTCAAGCCTCTCGAGGACTACATCATGACCTGCTTCAACTCATTCCATTGTGTGAATTCGTCCTTCTTGTCTCGTCGCCCAGTCCCGGCAGTTCGGTCAGGGAGTGAGTCTGCTCAAAGACGACCCTCCCTTCCACGACCCGAGCCGAGGCATCCGGAACAGTACAGCGAGACCCCCATCATTGACCTCGATCCTAAACTGCTTCTGCTGGGAGACTTTGCCGAGAACGGGACATGGTGGACAGGCAGTCAGAGTCAGAGTCAAAGTGGGGCACGGCATAAGAGGTCGGCTTCACATCGAATTGATGAGACGCCGTCTTTCGTCACGCCTCGCTCTGCGCAGGTCGAGTGGAACGAAGTCGCTGAATGGTATCGAACGATACTCAACGCAGCTGAGTCTTGGATGGCCGTCTATGAAGAGATGAACCGAGAGGCAGGGGCCGGTGCTGAGCCGGGGACGCCAGTACCAGACCCTTTGTCGGCCACGGAGCTACGAGCTTTGGAGTCTCAGCTACTTCACGGACAGGAGCATACTCATAGAGCACTCCTGAAAGCCACGGAGAATCTGTTGAAACGACCTGGTCGCCCTATGACAGACCCCGAGGACCTGCGATTCCTCCTCATTGTCTTGGAAAACCCGCTCCTTCACGGCGAGCCAAACACTTTCCAGGGACAAGGGCGTCGGAAGGAGACGAGAAGACCTGACGTGCCCAAGCAAGAAGGTTCGGCTGTGAAGACTGGACCTGTTTCGGGACAACATTCCGTCATCATCAAACGAATTTTAGGCTTGATATCGAATTCGTCAAATACCTGTCAAAACCATCTTATTACTTGGTTCGCCCGGTATACAGAGTCCAGATTTATCAAAGCCAAAGATTTGGCCGCTGGCTTTTTGACATACAGGCTCATCCGACAGAATGAGAAGAAACAGGAAGTCAGGGTGGACATCACCGCTGGGTTGATTCCGAACATGAGTGCAGGTCACCACTCAGCCGCCTCGCTTCACGCGGCGCTTGGAAGTCAAAATGCTCCATCGAAAAAGCAAAAGGAGCAACCGAAGAAGATGGTTTACAACGAAGACTGGCAGATCAAAGCTGCCGCGCGGGTCTTGGCTCTCATATTTGCGGCCAATAACATGACGCACATTCGACGGCCAGATCAGACGGCAAGCACTTCCAGTAGCACCACCCACCGAGGCGGTATTCAGGCGCACGGGCAAATCATTCCGACGAGCGACTTTTACAACACCATGATTGACTACACCGACCTAGTGGCCGAATTCGAGGCCTGGGAATCGAAACGGGGCCGGTTTTCTTTCTGCCAGTACCCGTTCCTGTTGAGTATGTGGGCGAAGTCTCAGATTCTAGAGCATGATGCCCGCAGACAGCAAATGACCAAAGCTCGGGATGCCTTCTTTGATAGCATAATGACGCGGCGGGCTGTCACTCAGTTTCTAGTGCTCGATGTTCGAAGAGAGTGCCTTGTGGATGACAGCCTGAAGGCGGTGAGCGAAGTCATTGGAAGCGGTAGCGAAGACATCAAGAAGGGGTTGCGCATCGTTTTCAAGGGCGAGGAGGGCCTCGATGCCGGCGGTCTAAAGAAAGAATGGTTTCTACTCCTCGTCCGGGAGGTTTTTAACCCTGACCATGGTAAGTTCTGCCCTGTATCTTTTCAGCACTTGTCTGACATGTGCGTAGGCATGTTCATCTACGACGAGGACTCCCAGTTCTGCTATTTCAACCCCAACTCCTTCGAGACCTCTGACCAGTACTTCCTGGTTGGCGTCGTGATGGGTCTGGCCATCTACAACTCGACCATCCTGGACGTGGCATTGCCACCTTTCGCTTTCCGCAAGCTTCTTGCGTCTGCGCCTAGCTCTTCAACCGGGCCTTCCGCCCATCCCCGACCAAGTATGAATTACACCCTGGAGGATCTCGCAGAATACCGTCCACGACTAGCGGCGGGACTACGACAATTGCTAGAGGTTGACGGCGATGTTGAGGAAACTTTCCAGCTCGACTTTGTTGTCGATGTTGAGAAGTACGGGATCATTACTCAAGTACCTCTCTGCCCAGGCGGAGAGAGAAAGGCAGTGACCAACGCCAATAAGTGGGAGTACGTGAATCTCTATGTTCGGTACCTGCTTGAGACAGCAGTCACGCGCCAATTCGAGCCTTTCAAGCGTGGTTTCTACACTGTCTGTGGAGGCAACGCCTTGTCACTGTTCAGGCCGGAAGAAATTGAATTGCTGGTGAGAGGTTCAGACACAGCACTCGACGTGGATGCTCTCAGAGGTGTGGCCGAATACGACAATTGGGGGACCAAGACTCCTGACGGTGTCGAACCGGTCGTTGGCTGGTTTTGGGAAACCTTCAAGGAGGCGACACCAGACGAACAGAGGAAGCTGCTGTCCTTTATTACGGGCACTGATCGAGTGCCGGCAATGGGAGCTGCTCTGCTTCCCATCAAGATAACGTGTTTGGGCGAAGATGAGAACAGGTATCCCATTGCTCGAACATGCTTTAACATGTTGTCCTTGCGGCGCTACGGGTCTAGGGAAAGATTGGAACAAATGTTATGGACTGCTGTCCACGAGAGCGAGGGCTTTGGACTGAAATAATTGTATCACGCGTCAACGACACAGAAATCATTAGCATCCGGAGTTACAGACAACGGCTCTGAAGCCGTCTGAGGGTATTGAAATGCATCTAGATAGGGTGGCAGCAAGATTCGCACCGGCTCGCAGCCTGTCGGGTTTCTTTTTGGTTTGGCTTTGGCCTTTTCTTGGATGTACATGGGTGTAAGCCCTCATTACCTTATAATGAACAAAACAAGACTTTTCTTTGTCGTCACTCCCGATCTCCATGCGTCCATAGCACAGTGACCAGAGTCGGCCCTAATGGCAGGTGTATGTCAATCATGAAGCTGTCCATGGAGCCCCCGGTCCATGTAGAGATTCTTTTTGGTACATTTTGTACATGGTATTCATACATTTTCCTCCTCGCACCGTCGTTCGTAGGCTTATACGGCAACCTCGGCACGCGCCTTGTCCAACATCGCCTTCTGCTTCTTCGCCTCCTCGCGGATCTTTGCATTGGCGACCCGATCCTTCTCTCCCTTCACGCGCAACTTCTCCACCTCTTCCATCTCCCGAAGCTCCTCTTCGGTAGGGGTTACGGGAGTGGCCTCAGCCTCGGCGATGAAGCGCTCCAGAATCTCTTCGGAGCGCTTGTCCTTGATGTCGAGCTTGACGACACGCTCGTTCTCTGTGGGTTCTGGGGCTTTGCTTCCGTCCATGGCGGAAGAGGGGTTCTGGGGTAGCGTTGCGGGGTCGATGGGTGCGCCCTTGCTGAAGTAGATGTGCATCATGGCGGCGCCCTCGTTTGTGGCTTTGCGGTTCACGATCATGGGGACGGCGGGGTTGTGGTACTTTAAGCGACGGAGCATGTTCTGCCAGAACTTTCTGTACTGCGGTATCAGCATCTGTTCGTAGGAGCCGTCCCATGCGCCGGTGAGCATGGAGGGGTGCAGTGAGGGTTGACGGACCTGGGCCCCATGTGGCCGCCTTCCATGGTCTTGGCGAACTCAATGTGTATCCTTGTGACATTGGGAGGGAGGATGGCGGCGCCGGGGCCGTGGCGTACCGAAAGGATCTGCAAGAGGTTTTCGTGTCAATTGGAGCCATCCGGGAATCGTGAATCGGGTTCTCGAGCGATCATATGTACCTTCTATTCAGACTGTTAGCTTCATGTTGAAGTCGTTTTGCGCAGGAGTGAAAATCCTCAAAATTTCAACACTTACAGCTCTGAGAGCATGCCATCTCTTTCCTACGTTGACCATCTTGGCGGCTGTCTGAGAAGTCTCCAGATATCTGACTACCCAGAGGAACTACTGCTTCACCCACTTCAGGACCTCGATCTCTTAGTCGCGTGGTCGAGATGCTGGAAAATTGCTGCGACCCTTGCGTTGAAACGGGCCGGGATTATCCGGATAAGAAAAAAAGTTGGGGTGCTTATCGCGCAAGCTTGGACCGGGATCTACAGGAATTTTTGAGCTGGGGGGTCGAATGCGAGAATCTTAGAGAAAAACACTCCAAATTCGTTAATACATGCAACTTTTTCTGGGTGATTGCTTTCCTGGACGAGTATGCATCGCGCGCTGTCGTCAAGGTGGCTTCGTAGCGCGCTGAGCATTGGCGACCGGGCCGCTCTGGCTGAGGTGCCAGTGTACCTCTGCCCAAGCCTCAGCGTAGCTAGCACGCGACACACTTTTGCGCCGGCAGATGCGCATCGAAGGCTTCCCTACAGGCAGCAAAGATGTGTGCATAACGAGATGGTCCCTGCTACCGAGCTCACGCCCGAACAAATTCTCGCGAAACCGCCGGTCGACGAGTCTGCGCACGTCCTGGCCAAGAACCTGCCCTTGATATGCAGTGGGTGCGGGGCACTGAGCCAAACGGCTGAGCCTGGACAGGCTGGTTACTACGATCTGAAAAGGAGGGCGGTACGAGAATATGTCACCATGGAGGAAGAGAAGGCTGGGAGGGAAGCGCAAGAGGAGGACGCGGTTGTTGAAGCGGCACTGCAGAATCTGGGCGAGGAGAAGCTTAAGGAGCTGGGACTTGATCCTCGCTCTTTGCGCTATGGGGAGGAATTGGAGTCGAACAGGCCCGGTATGTGTTGCTTGGAAGCTTGAGATGGACATCTGCTAACGCAACGTAGTTAAAGGACCGACGTCTTGGAGAGTGCCGCTCTGCGACCGATGTCATAGGCTCGTCCACCACCACGAGGGCGAACCCATCTACCACCCGAGCATAGACTCCCTACGCGAGACGATCGAAGAGTCGCCGTTCAAGAAGAACTACATCTACCACATTATCGATGCCGCCGACTTTCCCATGTCGTTCATCCCGAAGTTGCACATGCTCCTCGACGCCAACCTCAAGCATCGCAACCGTAGGAACAAGGCGGGCCGGTACTACAGGGATCGCATGTTCAACATAGACTTCGTCATTACCCGTTCGGATCTGCTCGCGCCACAGGCGGAGATGGTGGATAGGATGATGCCGTACATGCGCGAGGTGCTGCGCCGCTCCTTGGGCAAGTTCGGAAAGCTCGTCACGCTCGGTAACGTGAGCTGTGTCAGCGCGAAGAGGGGATGGTGGACCAAGCCGCTGAAGGACAAGATTTATAAACGTGGAGGGGCTGGGTGGATGGTTGGTAAGGTCAATGTCGGGAAGAGCCAGCTGTTTGATGCTGTGTTTCCCAAGGGTACCACCGCCGGCATCTCCCTGAAAACCCCGATCAACATTTCCCTTTTCGCGAAAGAGGAGGACGGTCTGAATGAGCGCTACGTGACGGAAGATGTGGAAGACGACATGCGCCTGGATGAGACGTCTATGTTGCCGCCCGTTCGACCAGAGACCAACTACCCCGAGATGCCTACGGTTTCAACTCTCCCTGGTACTACGGCATCTCCCATCCGTATACCCTTCGGCAACGGAAAGGGCGAGCTGATTGATCTTCCTGGTGTTGCTCGTTCGAACTTGGAGAACTACGTGAAGCCTGAACACAGGTCGTCCCTGGTCATGGAGTCAAGAATCAAGCCGCAGCAGCATAGCCTGAACAGTAAACAGTCTCTCATCCTCGGCGGCGGTCTGATTCGCATCACCCCGCAGACCCCCGGTCTGGTCTTCCTTGCATACAACTTCACACCTCTCCCCGAACACAAGACCTCCACCGAAAAGGCCATCGAGTTCCAAGCAGAGACGCGAGAGGCGCCCCTCAAGGTGGAAAAGCTCACAATCCAAGGAATCGGCGAGACAATCAAGCTTGCCGGAACCTTCAAGCTCAATCATGATGTGACCAAGGAGCGCTCTGGTCCTCTGACTCGCAAGGACGTTGGCAACATGAAGGTCGAGGATCTCCCGTGGCGTGTCCTGGCCACCGACATCCTCATCGAAGGCTGCGGCTGGATCGAGATCGTGGCACAGGTGCGGACGAGGCACATGTTCGACGGGATGTCTTCGTTCCTCGAGCAATCAGAGCCGGAGTCTCTGGAGGAGCCTGAACCCGAACCTGAATCTGAGGCCGTTGATCCGTTTCTCAAGATGGAGCAGGCGGCAGAGCAGCATGCTGTGTCAAAGGAGAAGCCCAAGCCCGCCGCCGAACCCGAGAACCCGGAGCCGAATTGGCCCGTCGTCGAGGTCTACTCCCCCGAGGGCAAGTTCATTGGCGAGCGTCTTCCCATGAACGCGTGGTTGATCAACAAGCCGCCCAAGAAGGACATCAAGGCTCGTCCTCGTAAGAGTATGAAGGGTGCGAAGAAGGCGGCGAAGCAGGCCAAGAGGGCTGCTGCTGCGTCGTAGCGCTGTGTAACTGTAGCATATTCTGTACATCATCACTCCATGTACATCATCTGAAGACATGAATAATGAGAGTTCATCGTATGATTGACGCGTTTATTGAAAATGGGCCGTGTAACCAAGTGACGACGCCAGAGACCATGTAGGCCATTGGTAGTTTAGCCGTGGCAGGATAGGAAACATGGTTAGTTGTGTACGCCGATTGTTTAGCAAAGACACTTGACCACGTGTGAGGGACGTAGGACTACATTGAATATCTGATATGAGCAAATCACACCATGACATCAACTGCCCTCGGAATCAGCGATTGCGATTCTGAAAATAATCTGGCCTGCTTTCAATCCTAATGACGAAGAAAAGCCACTGTTTACATACCGGCCCGGACCGTTGAGACACCCGGTTCCGGAAGTTGACGACCCGGCGTGCCATCGGGCGGCTGGACCGGGTGTACCTCCGATGTGGGGCCCAGGAATGACGTGGGGTACCATGGACTTTCAGTTGCATGCCAGAAAAATAACAAAAACGCATCCCACCTTCTTTCGCAGGCCAATGTTCTAGAGCCTCCCCCCAACACCAATTACAAACCACGACGACCCCTGAATATCTTCGATCCTCCTCACCGCAACAGATCCACGCGGCTTTTGACTCTCGGGCACGAAACCACAGCGACACTACGACTCAGTGCTGCAGCGTATTCTGCCATTCGAGAAATTTCCGCGGGGTAATCTTGCTGAGGATTTATTGGTGCGGAACGCCTCAATTAACGGCACACGACCAACCACACACACCGACTTCTCTTTCTGTCACCACACAGCGAACATGGCGGCCGTGCAAGATCCACAACAACGCTCGACTCCCGGCCCGTCGCAAACGCAGACGGAGACGACGAATACCCAGAGCCGGACTGGTACGCAGGCGATCTTGCGACTGAGAGGTGCGCATGCGCCCTCCAGGCCGTCGGTGAGGTGGGCGGAGGACGTTGTCGACAATGAGGGTCTTGGACGCAAGAGTTCAAAAGGTAAGCCTGCGCCGCCTTTCTCCGCGCATTTTCAATCTCTAATAATTCGTCAATAGTCTGCTGCATCTACCACCGTCCCAAAGGCGTCGACGAATCCAGCGATGAGTCGTCTTCCGATTCCTCTTCAGACTCAGATTCCGACTCCGACGGCGGTGGCAGGAGGAGGGTACCTTCGGCCGACCACAAGGGCAAGGGGAAGAGTAACAAGAAGCAGAACCACGACTGTGACGATCATGATGGCCATAGCCATGGCAGGAAATCTGATCGCGACGGCAAGCAGAAGAGAAGGCCGAGTCCCAACGCGTATGAGAGGGTGCCGAAGCCGCCCAAGCCCAGAGACGAGGCGGGCGAGGGAAGCAAGGAGCCGCAGTCAAAGGCTTGACTAAAGTGTCCATGATTACACTGTTTTGCATGCATTGGTTGGCGTTGGGTTGGTTCTTATGACTTACAGGCATACCGCCCCTGGTGAGGGCGAGCGAGACTAAGAGGATATACGCTAGAAGTATTCACGTAGAGGCTTCTGAGTCTACCTGGTACACGAAGTTGAGGTGGTTTACAAGGGTTCCCGCAAACATGCGGGTGTAGCTTCATGAAAGATCCTATGACTTCCTGTTCCGTCTGATCGCAAATAGGTACATGGCATTATTCATGCTGGTCGCGAGGGCGACGGGCGCTGTCAGGCTATCCCCGCAGCATGGCCGGCGGCGGCCGTGGGGAAAATCGCATCCCACTTCGTTCACTGAAATAGGTACCTTTATCGATAAGCTCACTGACCCCGCGACCCTTAAACCTCCCACAACCCCTCCAGTTGAAGCTCTCCGGACGAACTCATCCTTCTTCAAATCGTAGTATACCCAACTTTCCGCATTTCTCTTGTCTTCTGTACCATTCAATTGCACCAAACATGTCTCACACGCACTCCCACGATGGCCCTGCCGGTCACTCCCACTCCCACGACGGAGGCTTCAATGCCCAGGAGCACGGCCACTCCCATGAGATCCTCGACGGTCCTGGAAGCTACCTTGGTCGCGAAATGCCCATTGTCGAGGGCAGAACCTGGGCTGACAGGGCTTTCACCATCGGTATTGGAGGGTAAGTCAAGCTGCGCAGCTTGGGTGATTCTGGAGCTTGAAAACCGCTCAGCACCTTTCCGTTCCTGGAAATAACGATGGGACTCCTCTCAAGCCATCCACACCAATTAGCTGTTCCATTGAGACATACGAGAGCTCGCGCGTGCTGACCAAGCTCCAGACCCGTCGGCTCCGGCAAGACCGCCCTGATGCTCGCCCTCTGCAACGCCCTCCGCGAAAAGTACAACATCGCCGCCGTCACAAACGACATCTTCACCCGCGAGGACGCCGAGTTCCTCACCCGCCACAAGGCCCTCCCCGCCCCGCGCATCCGCGCCATTGAGACCGGCGGCTGCCCTCACGCCGCCGTGCGCGAGGACATCTCTGCCAACCTCGCCGCCCTTGAGGACCTGCACCGCGAGTTCGATACCGATCTGCTGCTGATCGAGTCCGGAGGCGACAACCTGGCGGCTAACTACTCGCGCGAGCTGGCGGACTACATCATCTACGTTATCGATGTGTCTGGAGGCGACAAGATCCCCCGCAAGGGCGGCCCGGGTATCACCCAGAGTGATCTGCTGATTGTGAACAAGACGGACCTGGCGGAGATTGTCGGTGCGGACCTTGGTGTCATGGAGAGGGACGCGCGCAAGATGCGCGAGGGAGGCCCAACTGTTTTCGCGCAAGTGAAGAAGAACGTTGGTGTTGATCACATTGTCAACCTCATCATCAGCGCGTGGAAGGCTGCCGGCGCGGAGGAGCAGCGCAAGTCGGTTGGTGGATCCAGGCCGACGGAGGGACTGGACACTCTCAATGCGTAAAAAGGGGGGAACAAGGAGCGTGGAAAGTTGATCATTCATTCGGCCTGTCGAAAGGGGGTGAAAAGTAACATGAACCTTGAACTCCGGCATTGGCATCAGGCTTGTATCTACAGCCGACGTTACTGCTAATATCTATATTTTTCCCGGAGCCTTTTTTGATATATCCATGTCATGAGCTTTTTTTTAATTTGTTCCTTCATTCCATCATCACATCACCCTCCTCGGACTGGCCAGCACCAGCCTCGAGAAGAGGTCCCTCAATGGGAATAGCGTTACGAGGCCACACACGCTTGTACAGACTGACACCGATGGAGTCCTGTGGGTTGATGCGGCCATCGAACGTCGCCTTGAAGTATCCGTGGGTGCCGAGGGGCTCCTTGACGAAACCGCTGCGGCCGCGCTTCGTCCACAGCGGCAAAGCCTTGAACCACTCAACGTCCTCACGGTTGAAGAACATGTAGCGGATCGTGACGATCTTCTTGTGGATGTGATACGGGTGGCCGGTGAGAATGACCCGCTTGGCAATAACGCGGTTCGTCGAAGGCGGCAGAGCGGTACCCGTGGCGATGAGGGTGAGTCCGATGGTCGACTCGTTCTCCGCCTCTTCCGAACCCTCGGCCACAGGCTCGGAGCGCTTGAAGAAGAGCACAGGCACGGCACCCCATGTGATGGGACCCATGAATGTGGCAACGGCGGACTGGCCTGGGTGAAGATACCGGCAGAACTTGTGCACGTCGTTGGGGGTGTTGCCCGGCTGGGAGAAGACGGGCTTGACAGTGAAGCGGCGAGGTCCGCACTGCACGATGAGCTCCTCCTTGGCCTTGATGGAGCGGTGGTAGTCAGCGCTGAGGTTGATGAGGTAGTTGACAGCCGTCTTCTTCTGCTCGTGGCGCAGGAGAGAGAAGAGAGTAACTGGCCGGCTTGGGTCGTAGGACTTCTCGAATGTCGCCGGAACGCCCCTGAGGTGAACGTGGACGCGCGTACCAGGAGCAACACCGCCAACGAGAGCCTCGCGGGTGGTGCGGGAGCGGGAAGCCTGGTAGTCGGGGATCCGGAGCAGCTTGCGCCATTCTTCCGGCTCGAAAGCCTTATCCTCGTCCTGAACCCACTCACTCGTGCGCAGGGACTTGAGACCTCTGTATCTTTGGAGACGCTCACGAGCGAGCACGTTGGGGTGCAGCTCGATCTCGTCAGGGAACTCCTTGTCTTCTTCGACCTCATCGCTCTTCCTGGCACGGTAGGCCGCCAGGCCCTTGGCGTCCTCCTCCTCATCAGGCTCGATGAACATTTCTGACTTGCCGCCGTATTCTGAGGGGGCAGCCTCGGTGGGCTCCTTTGGTGCGTAGCCCTCGAAGCCGTCTTCAGGGCGGGCTTCATCCTCCTCGCTGTTCTCATCCTGCATCTCGAAATCTTCCATGTCCGATCCATCGTCGGACACGTCGTCACCGAGATACCACGCCGCTTGGTAGTTAGACGTTCCCTTGGGGACTCTGGTCTTTAGCCTGTTGTTCTCCTCTCCGTCATCGTCGGAGAAGTAGTGGTGGTCGTCAAGCAACACGCCCTTCTTGATCGTGGGAGGCTCGTTGTCCTCCATCTCATCATCATCCATCACGGCGTCGGGCGCCAGCTCAGCCAGGTCATCCTGGTCTTCATCAGGGGTATCAAGAACTTTCTCCGCCTCTTCTTCCTCCACCGCCATCTCGCCCTTCTTAGTCTGCTTCGGCAAAGGCGCAGAAGTGATCTTTTCGATCTGGAATGTGCCGTAGTCGCCAAGCTGGATCAAACGGTTGGCCTTCAGGCCTCTTCCTCTCACGATACCGGTAACAACGGTCGAGTCAAGGCCCGAGTTGGGGAACTTGATCTCCTCGGCCAACAGCCAACTCCTGTCCTCGCGCCACCTGACGCCCTTCGGTGTGGTGTTGCAGAGAGAGCGCATGAGGTTGGAGCATTCTTGCCTGTTCTCCAGGCTGTAAAGCTTCTCCTGCTCAGGGTGAAAGTGGGTGATGTATGACTTGAGAGAGGCGAGAGTCGACGTCTTCTGCTTCGCCGGCTCAATCTTATCCAAGCCGTAGACAACGGTGAAGAGCGTCGACAGACCCTGGCTCTCCAGACCACGCAGCATCAGCTCACCGAGGTCGTCCACCTCGATGTCAGCCGAGAGCATGACCACTACGAAGTCGGCAACCCGGGTGGCGTCCAGAACAGCATTCAAGTCGCGCTTGAGGGGGATGTACTGCAACTTCTGCTTGAACCGGTCGACCGGAACTCGGAACGGCGTCTCCAACACCTCGACCTCGATGTCCAAACTGTTGTTCAACTGCTTGATGGCGGTCGCGGCGTTGCCGTCCTTGCACAGGGGCACAACAGCGACAGTCCTGGGGGCTCCATCTTTTCCGGCAAAAATCGACGTCTCCTCCAAATGCTCCTTGCGCTTCGCGATCTGGCGCTGCTTGGCCTGGTTTCTTCGGTCGAACTTGGACATGACTTGCTGGTGGGGTGTCTTTCGCTGGCCGCGCTCGCCTCCGAGTCTGCCTGTAGAGAGACAGTCAGTTTCTTATATGTTCTTGCGACAAAAAACACCACTCGAGCGCTCCGAAGTTTTGTGCGGGGAGAAATTTTGGGGATTTGCAAACCTTTGGCGGCGTCCCTCAGCGCACCCTTGGATGCATGCTTGCCTGACTTGAAGGACTTGTTGACTTGCTTGGTGGTTGGTCGATGAGAGTGACTCACCGAGGCAGACATGTTGCCGTCGCCTCCAGCCTTGAATCGAAAAGGTAATGAAGCCAGTTTGGGCGCAAGTTGCTCGCACGACGACTGAGAAAATCGGTGTGACAGCACTCAAAGCGACCCCGAATTTGGACTCGAATTTCGGTTTTGCGCCTGTGATGGCGGGGTTGTTCAAAAAATTCCAGTGCACTTGTGCGCTATCGATAAGCCCCATTAAAAAATGTCTGCGCCAATTGGGTGCCGTCACCGACAGTGGAATGTCAGTGCGAGGAAAGAGTTCCGATAAGATAAAGAAATTTTGCTGGACCGCCCGGTACATGGTGCAAAAGTTGCTGCTGCTGATCTCTCAATTCCGGGTCTCGCTTTTTTTACCACCCCCGTGACGGCATCTGCACGAGACACGCGCATCCGACCACGACGGCGTCGCCCAACATGGAGATCGACAGCGCAGAAACGAAGACGATATCTCGGAACAACACACACGATAATGGCGCCGTCCAGGTGAAGCAGCGTACGGCCCTCGGCCCGCGAGAGGAACGCGAGAAGCGCGAGAAGCTCGAGAGGATCCGCCGGCAGAGGGAGGCGAACAAGGCGTACGGCCGCGGCAAGAGCGTCAACGTCAAGAACATCAAGGACAAGAAGCTGCGCACCAATCTGTCGCGACTCGAGAACAAGTACCGCGATGCCGCCAACAAGGCCAAGGATGCCGAGATCCTGCTCGAGAACACTGGCGGGTTCCTCGAGGCCGAGACGGAGCTCGAGAGGACGTACAAGGTTCGCCAGGACGACATTAGCGAGGGCGTTGCTGTTTCGACAGCCCAGAAGCGCTTTGAGCTGAAGCTTGAGGAACTTGGGCCGTATCTGGGCGAGTACACTCGTAACGGAAGGGAGCTGCTGCTGGCCGGTCGCAAGGGTCACGTCGCGACGTTCGACTGGAGGGAAGGCAAGCTGGGTTGCGAGATCCAGCTTGGTGAGACGATTCGAGATGTACGGTGGCTTCACAACAACCAGTTCTTCGCTGCTGCGCAGAAGAAGTATACCTACATCTACGACAGGAATGGTGTCGAGATCCACTGCTTGAGGAAACATACGGAGGTCACGCATATGGAATTCCTTCCGTACCACTTCCTCCTCGGTACAGTAGTAAGTACAGCTGACGACTTGTTTCTCTGGACCTTGCTAATTGTCATAGGCGGCGACTGGCTGGCTCAAGTACCAGGACGTTTCCACCGGCAACATCGTCGCCGAGTATCCCACCAAACTCGGCCCTCCGACATCGTTGACCCAGAACCCTTGGAACGCCGTTCTCCATGTCGGTCATCAGAACGGTACGGTCACTTTGTGGTCACCCAACCAGTCAGAGCCTCTCGTCAAGCTGCTGGCTCACAGAGGCCCTGTGAGGTCAATGGCCATCGACAGGGAAGGTCGCTACATGGTCTCGACCGGTCAGGACTGCAAGATGGCCGTCTGGGATATCAGAATGTTCAAGGAGGTGAACAGCTACTTCACAAGACAACCCGCGTCATCGGTGGCCATTTCCGACACCGGTCTTACGGCTGTTGGCTGGGGAACCCAAACCAGCATCTGGAAGGATCTTTTCAATAAGAACGATCCCGTCCAGCAGAAGGTGCAGAGCCCCTATATGGCGTGGGGTGGCGAGGGCAAGCGCATGGAGCGGGTGAGGTGGTGCCCGTTCGAGGATGTTCTCGGCATGGGTCACGACGAGGGATTTTCGTCCATCATCGTTCCCGGCGCCGGAGAGGCCAACTTCGACGCCCTGGAGGTCAACCCATTCGAGACCGCCAAGCAGAGACAGGAGGCCGAAGTCAAGGGACTGCTGAACAAGCTCCAGCCCGAGATGATTGCCCTGGACCCCAACTACATTGGCAACATCGACCTGAGGTCGGAGAAGCAGCGTCGGGAGGAGAAGGACTTGGACTCCAAGCCCCTGTCAATCGAAGAGGAGATCCGCAAGAGGGCGAGAGGTAAGGGCGGCGCTTTGAGCAAATACCTGAGGAAGCAGCGCAAGAAGAACGTCATCGACGAGAAGAGAATGAAGGTGGACGCTATCTGGGAGGAGCGACAGAAGGCGAGAGAGAGGAAGCACCAGGAAGTCGAGGCGGATCTAGGCCCGGCGCTTTCGAGATTTGCGCGCAAGGAATAATGGGCGGTCTATGTAAAAGTGAAAAGTTGGACCGGGAGTTGGTTGCATGTAAGAGGCGTTTAGGCATTTGCTCCCTTAGTGAACATGAATACCCGACACTGGGACGATTTATTGTACCGAACACGCTCAAGATTGACTGGCAGTGATGAGTTCTTCGTGATTGAAACGTTCACCAAATTGGACTTTTTAATCATCGATGAGACAGCTAATGCCCACATGCTATGTGAAATACAATCAAGCCCATCGCCAACTTTTGTATACCGTACACCATTACGCTCATTTCATGTATGTTCCCTGAAGTCTATGTTTCGTGCCAAGTCTTGATATCCATATACGGATTCCTTCCATTTTCGTTTACAGCAGCTTAAGGTGGCTGGTGACCTGGTCGACAAGGCTCTTCGGCGCAGGACCGACGCCGAGAACGGTCAAGCTGCCGGCCTCGATCTGCGTGCGGCCGGCGTCGGCAATAACCTCGGCGGTGATACCTAAGCTGCGCGCCTTGCCCATGAGCTCGAGCATCTCGTTCTGGTCCTTGATCTGGACAGCAATCTTGGCCTGGCCGAGGCGTTCCCAGCGGGAGAGAATCTTGGCGGCAGCAGAACATGGGTCGCGAGTGGCGGCCTTCGAGAGGGACTTGTAGCATGCGAGGGTTGCGTGGGAGGCTTGCGCCGCCATCTTGCCTGTAGGAACAATGGTTTGTAAGCTTCGGAATACTAGCAAGGGTCTTGCTCTTCGCGAGGGGACGTACCCTTGGTCATTCCCAGATCCGTCCTGACAACAAGCACAAGCTTGCACTCCTCGTTCGAATCAGCAAGCGGTGCCTTCTCCGGGTTCGGCTTCTTGGCCTTCTTCTCAGCAGTGTTGCGCTGGCGCAGACCATCACGGACGTCGGCGGCCTCGGCATTGGACCAGTTAGGCGCGTGGTCGAGGATGGTATCGTCCTCGTCGATATCAGATTCCTCGCTCTCGATGGGATCCTCCTTGTTGGCGCGAGCTTCGGCGCGCAGCTCAGGGGAGATGAGGTAGCCGCGGATCGTGTAGACACCGAGCATGAAGCCTGAGAGGAAGGCAACGAGGGTTGTCGTGATGACGGCAGCGCTCTGCCCCGTGGTGGCGTCGTGGATGGCCATTGTTGGCGTTCTTGGTTTTCTCGAGATGGGGGAGCGACGCTGGGAGACGACGACGACGATGGGAGACGGGACGCTGGGAGATAACGGCGCTGGGAGACGGCGGAAAGTTGGGATGAACTCGAGCTTTTCTTGTGGGCAGATGCAATTGGAGATGCTGCTGCAGTGATCAGCGCTGTGCCTGGCCGGATGACGCACGTCAGGGGCTTGCCTGCTGCCCCGTGTGTGGCTGAAACCCCCCTGGACTACCTGGACAGCTGCCAGGGAGCCCTTCAGCGGTTGTCTCCACCGTTGAATCTCTGGCCGTGCGAGGGAGGGGTCATGGTGGGGGTTGATTCGGAGATCTGAGCTACTGCAAGTGGTAATCTTGGATGAAGACTTGGCTCTGTCCATCTCCCGCTTACACATCTACGAGGCGGTCTGTCTAGACTGCGATATTTGGGGTGTGCCCGCCTTTACATTCACTTGGTAGGTCTTACTATTTATCTGTCAAGAGCCTTATTGTCTCTTTTCATAAGAAACCGCTTGCTTCCTCTGTCAGCAAGTCTACTGTCCGTCGTCGTTAGTACGTACACATGTCGCGTGACATAGGGAAGATAGGCGGCAAAAGATAGACAGTCTCTTTAAAATAACTCTACGTCAGAGTGCCTTGGCTAACCGTTATCAAGATTCTCGTGTCAGAAGGATCCTTCACGATGAGCGGGGGCAATAACGTGGTAATAGGCCTCAGCGGCTGCTCTTCAAGCGGCAAGACGACGTTAGCTCGCTTGCTGCGAGATATTTTCCCCAACACCTTTATCCTCCACGAAGATGACTTTTACAAGCCGGAGTCTGAGTAAGTAAAATCTGATGTCTGATATCGTTATCTGACTGACATAATCCGGTAGGCTCCCCACGAAGAATGGGCTCCTCGACTGGGACTGCCCTGAGGCCATCTCAGTGCCTGACATGAATAAGGCCCTTACTCATATCCGTGAAAATGGGACATTTCCAGTGAGTTGCGATAAGAGTTGTGGCTCTCAAGTATACTTACGGTTTGAATAGCCTTTCGTAGACTCCAAGGAGGACCAAAACTCTGTCGGAAAGTGCCCAGTCTCTGATGAAAAGATTGCTGCCATGAAAGCAAGGGTCAGCCGTTGGCTGGAACCGGGCCAGCCCGGACACGCCATCTTCACCGAGGGCAAGTTGAGAGTTTGCCTTTTCGACGGCTTCCTTCTGTACTGCAAGGAAATGGAGACTACGATGAGCCTTATCGACATCAAGCTATTTCTTCTGGTCAGCCGAGCCAAGGCACAACAACGGCGCGAGGCCCGCGATGGCTATGTCACTCTGGAAGGTTTCTGGAAGGACCCGCCTGGTTATGTTGACAAGATTGTTTGGCCTAATTATGTTGAAGCGCACCAGTGGTTGTTTGAAGAGGGCAATGTGGAGGGTAGGCTGAACGAGAAGGTTTTGCAAGAAAAGGATATCAAGGCCCAGCTCGGCAAGGGTCTAGATATCGACATGGAGACGACTTTGGAATGGACCATTGAGACCATCATTACAGAACTCGAGCGGAGGGCGACAGAGAAGGCCGAGTAATAACGTTTTACTGCTCATACTTATTCCCGACTATGTACAGGGGTTCCGTTTGTACCTATGAACCAAACCGAAACATTCCAAGCTTGGCCAAAGTTCAAGTACACGGTTATCACTGCCAGGTATCAGACTTTGTCGCCGCTGTGGTGCACGAGGGAACGGTGTAAGTGTGGTTAGGGTCGGCCTCCCAAGTCACAGTACCATCGCTGGCGACATTGATGTACTTATACTGGATAGCCTGTCCGGCCTGCAGTTCGATCGTCACAGACCAGACAGGGTTGGCAGACGTGTATCCTGAAGCACTAAGAGAAATAGCGCTGCCTGGGCTCCAGTTGCCAAGCTGGGCAGTGTTTCCGACAATCTTGATGGTCTGGCCGAACTGCGTGACAACTCTCTCGTTGAAAGTAACGAGCACCGAACCGGGACAAGATGTAGCAGTTGGAGTAGGGCCAGTTGTCGTTGCTGTGGGCGGCACACCAGTGCCCGGAGTCTGGTTGGCAGGGAAAGAGGTTGCGGTGGCGCTCGTATAGGAGCCAACGATGGAAGTGGCCGCGCAGGTGCCAGGAACAGAAGTAGCGCTGCCAACCCAGCCAGGAGGGATGACAGCGGCATGTCTCTGGGCAGCTGTCAAAAACGCGGCATACGACCAGGTAAGGTCATCTGCTGAGAGGGGCTGTCCGTTGCTTCGGGAGAACTGCTCGGCAAGAGAGCCGTTGGTCTGGGCATATGTTGCGACCACGTTCATGAAGCCATCAGCGTAGGCGCTCACCGCATTGATCAGCGATGTGTACGTCGAGGTTCCCGATGCGTAGGTGCCAGGAGCGACAGAGCCGAGCTGATCTCTGAAGAAGGCCAGGGAAGTCTGGGTCACTGTAATGGAGCCTTGTTGTTTCCAGACATAAAGAGCGTCATAGAGTTGCTCGGCAGCGGCCAATGTGTTAAGATACCAGGGGTTACCACCGTAGTAGCTGTCCTCGGGATAGCGGCCGACAGCAATGGCAGCGGACTGGGCGATGCCGTTGTTGATGGTGTAGATGGTGCGGAAAGAGTCGACTACAACCTTGTGGCTAGCCAAAGCCTTGTCACTGCATGGCTGGAAGGTGGCAGCATCACAGGCGGCCGCCGGGTCGAAGTTGTGGATGGAGGCCAGGATGACGTTGGCATCTCTGCCGGATCTGCCGTTGCCGTTGACTATTCGAGTTGAGTGTCAGTAGTCACCACTAACGGCCGGAATTCGGAACGTTGAGCTTACTGTTGGCAACCATGAAGTTACCCGATGGAGACCAGAATCTTCCCAGGAAGCACAGAACCTGAGGAGCAATGGCATCGCAGGAGTTGCAGGAAAGGCCCAATGACTTGGCAAGGGCGCTGCCCTCGACGAGAGCTGCGTCCAGTGTTAGCGTCAAGCAAATGATGAATCTCGGATTTACTAACCCCGATGCTGGCTGGCAACTGTGAAGAAAGAGCTTCCCTGAACCTCCTCCCAAAGATCGAAGCCGGTTTGGTTCCTAGAAGCGGATTAGCACCAAGTATTGGGGCCAGCACCTGCACTCCTTACCAGTACTGAGCGACGTAGTTCAAGTCATTGCGGATGACGGGCCAAAGAACAGACGAAGCGGTCGAGGAGTATCCGTTCTTTACTAGCCACTTGGCGTAACCGATGATGGCGATTGCGCGAAGAGCCGGGCCATCCCTTTGAGGTCGTCCTAGAAGCTGTCAGTATGTAATGTGTTCGAAAGTCTCTCTGGCGTACCCCAAGCCCCCGTGTAAGGGGTCAAGTTCACTTCAAACTTGGGCTCGCCAAGGCCAGAACCGTCGCTCAAGCTTCCTGAAGGGTTCGACACACCCTGGAGGCGGGCTTGAGAGGCAATGTAATTCTGGATGTTGGTCTGCAGGTTTGCGTCGTAACTGTTGGTGAAGATGTCAACCACAGCCTTGAACACGAGGCCAGCGTCTCTAGTCCAGGTGTAGAAGTCTATGACGATTAGCTGACTTCAGGGATAACCTAAGTAGACCTGGCTTTCACTTACACGGAGGATCGGTCTTGTCTGGGGAGGCAATGACGATGCCAGAACTCACACCAGCTGCATGGCAACCATTAGGACCAATGTTGCAAAGCAACTGAGCAAGGGCAATTGGGGTTTCCGTGGCGATGAAGGAGTCAACATCTCTCTTCATCACACTCGCCCCAGGGTATCCGAAGATAGTCTGGGTGGCGATGGAGCTGAGAAGAAGGGCAGAAGTGAACAACTTCATGATGGGCTGGGTGATTTCGGTTGTGTTGATTGCCAGTGCCCCTGACATGACATGTTGAAGGGAAACCATGGTGATTATATATCCCGCCGAGGCGCACGAAAAGGGTCTCTGTCCAGGGTGGTTCGATCCGATGTGCCTTGAAGGCCCGAATGCCAGAGTATCACCGAGCTGTCAAGTTGGCCTGCATTAGCCTCTTGATCCAATATTGCCCCCTTTCAGTGCTGATCGTGGACTCATGTCGGTCAAACCATCCCAGAACCAACTTTCTGTCCTCTCAGACCATCATCAGCGAGCCATCTTACCCAAAACTTTGCCCCAACTGACAATAACAGCCCCTTCTGCTCCCAACAGCTCCCCCGAATTCGATCGGCACTCCGGCCTTGTCTATGACTTCAGTCTCGTTGGTTTCCCCTCAAATTTCGGGAGTTTTTATGTCCTGCTGGGAGGGTAGCACTCAGCTACGGCTCCTACGGTATCCCACAGGGCGCACGTGGGCCAGACTGCTTGCTTTTCCAAGAGGCAACTCGGCCAAGACCAAGAAATGGCGACAGGGGTCTGAATGATGTCGGCAAGCAGATCAGACAACCTTGCCGTTCGGTCCTATCCGCCAGGAACTGGAGTGTGTTATTGGTGGTTTTGTGATGACGGACAGGTGAGATGAGGTTGGGGTTGCGGAGGTGGAGGAGACAAGGGCGTTTGCTCCCCCGCACAACCCCCGTCCCGAGGCCTAGTCTGATCGAATGACCAGACACGTCAAGCATGGCTTGATCGCCAAATTCGTCTTAGGGAAATACGTTAGCTTGTGTCTCGCTAACCTACACTGGTAGGTGCGAGGGAATGGAGCTGAATGACGGCGGAGGTTATGGATTTTGTGAGCGGATTCAACACCTGGTTGCACGAGCTCTGTTGAAGCTGTCACTGTGCAGTAAGTGTACATAATACACGCCAGACCTTCCAACTAGCTCGAAGACCCAAAGTTGCGTCATTTCGGAGAATGCCTGGATGAAGACGGACAGAGCGTTATGCGACACCCTCACCATTACCGTGCAGTAGTGTCGAGCAGCATGTGTGATGGATGGCAGGGCGGAGTCTCCTGTTGATATCGGGCCGGAGTAGGTCGACACATGTGCGAACAGCTACCCCAGATCACACGGGATGCACCCCGCACCGGCCAGCTCCCACTCTTCGACCGTTCTGACGGCCGGCCGGGATACCCAGAACGGGGATCTGCGCCGTAACCGACAAACCTTGATGCCATCTGGAAGCGGAAGGGTGGGCACCCTGATGCAGGTGCAATATCCATCGCGGAATGGTCTGCTTGGATGACAGCGCCAGGCACGAATGCGCCGAGCAACAGGCCGCAGAAAAATCTGACAGCTCTGCTGGTAGCAATTTTCATGTGCTCATCGACCCTGATGTTTTGTGAAGCGTTTTGCACTTCGCGACGGGGATCTTGGTAAGGAAGGAGCAGGCGCAAAATTTGCACTTGACCAGACCGGGCAACCACATCGTGAACTTCACCTTCTGGAAAGGGCATGCTCCCTCATCTATGAGCAGATGCGCTCTGGGCGCAATTACGACAGAGCATATGCTCGAGCAAGGCTCGTAATTACGATTTGGAAAGCCATGCCATTCTAGACGCCTTCCCGTCTGGAGATGGGAGGAAATCACGGTGGCGCAACAACAGCAAGCAGCAGACAGCAGTTTTGCAAAATCTGCGCCAGGACGATTACAGTAAAAATACCTACGAGTGAAAATATTTGGGCAAGTCATGGTTTTCCCTAACCTCATTGATCGACGATCTCGGATGAAGGGGTAGGAATATGACGTCCCCAGTACAATGTTCCACCACGCTCAAGCCGAAGCGAACATGGCTTCCCAAAGACCGGTCTCTCTTGGATCTGTCGATCGGAAGATTGACATCATGAGAATTTGATGGCTCCTTTGGTGATCGAGCTGTCGCAGTAATCAACTCTAACCCGCGGACGGGAAGAGGATCGCTGGACACAGACCCGTGTTTGTTGAAGAAAGGAAAAGAGAGAGGAAAGAAAATTCGTAAGGCTGCGATATGTACTAAATCTGCGCCCCACCTTGATTAGCTAAGCGTTGTCCAGATCAGTAGGGCGGGTCCGGCTGGATGAGCCGCAGACTTTTCTGGTTGGCCACGATGGGTGGGTCTTGCGCCGGCACTGGCCTCAGCATTCCCAGCCTTGCTAAGAAGGTCCGCTCAAGATGCCTTGATGTACCTTACCCAAATAATCTCCAAGCTCTGAACCGATCTGCGAATCCACATTTCAACTTCACTGGATTGCCGCACCTCTTATCAACGTCACCAAGAGCGCGCTATTCTAATCACCCACCCATTCGGTCTATCATCTTCCCCTCGCCAAGATGGACGCCGCGACCATCGAGGAGACGAACCGCATTCGCGTGTCGCTGGGCATGAAGCCCTTGCCTGTGCCTGGCGCCGCTCCCGCACCCGCTGAATCACGACGCGACAGATCTGGTTCCGACGACGAGGAAGCACCCAGCACACTCGAAAGCCGACAGGCGCAGGCCTACGACAACTATACAAAGGTTCGCGAAGCCGAAGCCGCGAAGCGCAAACGGGAGGAACGCGCAGCCGCCCTGAAGAGGGAACGAGATACCGCCCAGCGTTTCGCATCTTTGGAAGGCAAGGGTCTTGGTGAAGAAGATGACGGAGGCGACGTCGACGCGAAGGCCTGGTTGAAGGCGCAGAAGAAGAGGCAAAAGGCTATCGAGAAAGCGAGGAAGCTGGAGGAGGAACAGGCTGCTGCTGAAGCGGCTGCACTCGCCGCAATTGAGTACACTTCCAAGGACCTGGCTGGAGTCAAGGTGGCGCACGAGCTGGACAACTTCCTCGATGGCGACGAGCAAATTTTGACCCTGAAGGACTCGACTATCGATCAAAACGAGGAGGACGGTGATGAGCTAGAGAACTTGGACCTGAAGGCACGGGAGAAGCTGCAAGAGACACTAGATTTGAAGAAAAAGAAGCCAGCGTACGACGTTCATGCGACAGCCGATGGGGCCGAGCGCGGTATCCTTCAACAATACGACGACGAGATCTACGGCAAGAAGGCGAAGAAATTCACACTCGATGGATCCGGGGCGATAGCAGAGCTGGGTGATATCTTGGGAGAGGCGTCGGAAAAGGCGAAGATGCTGAAGAGCATCAATCTAGATGATGTCGTCCGTAAGTATTGGTCCATTTATCCGCAGCAAGCGTGTGCTGAGCTAACTTTGACTTGCAGAAGACCCCCCCACTTCAGATTACATCGACATTTCCGAGATTAAGGTCAAGAAGCCCAAGAAGAAGAAGTCCAAGTCAACAAGACAGAAGCCGGTCGATGAGGATGACATCTTCCCTACTGATGTGGCAGCAGCCGAGGACGATCTGATGGATGTTGATTCCGGCGCAATGGCCCTTAAGAAGAAGCGTAAAGTCGAGGATGACAACTTTGTCGACGACGAAGACCTACAGGCTTCTCTAGCAATCCAGCGCAAGAGCGCTTTGAAGAAGAGGAAGAGGACTCGCCCCGAGGATATCGCGAGGCAACTGAAAGGACAGGTCGACGAACCTGACAACGAGGCGCAAAGCGGCGGTGTGGTGATTGATGAGATTTCCGAATTTGTGTCGGCATTGAAGAAGCCTGATGAGGAGGAGGAACGCAAGCCGAAGAGGTCGAAGGCCGTCGAGGAGGCCGTCACAGCAATGGATGATTCGGATGATGAGGACCATCCCATGGGCGACGACTCACATCCAGAACGCGAGGAGTCTGTCGACAGAGCAAGAGCGGGATCTACAGACATCGCAACAACAGGAGTCGACGAGGAAAAGACGATCAACGCAGGTGTTGGCTCTGCTTTGGCTTTGCTGAGAGAGCGTGGCATCCTGAAGGATTCGCACGGCGCCAAGCTCAATATGAGCGAGAGGCAGAGAAGCGAGTTCCTGGCAGAAAAGAAGCGCATCGAAAGAGAGCAGGATGAGCGTGCCAGGATGCAACGTGAGCGCGACAGAAACAGCGGCCGCCTCGATGCCATGTCCACCCGAGATAGGGAAGAGCGTGCTCGACAAGCGAACGCACACCGCGAGTTGCAGGCGTCTCGCGCCGTCGACGAGCTTTTCAAAAAGGGATACAAGCCTAACGTCGAGCTCAAGTACGTTGACGATCACGGCAGAACTCTGGACCAGAAGGAGGCGTTCAAGCACATGAGTCACCAGTTCCACGGCAAGGGCAGCGGCAAGGGCAAGACCGACAAGCGACTCAAGAAGATTGAAGACGAGAAGCGACGCGAGGCGCAGAGCGTCCTCGACTCGAGCGAGAATGCAAACATGAGTTCGTCAGCGGCGAAACGGCGCGAGGCCGGTGTTCGATTACAATAAGCTATCGGGGTTTGGGAGGGTGATGAGGACCAGGACAAAAGGTGCATACCCTTAATATGTACAATTCCAAGATTGATCAGGTTTATTCCATGCTGACACAATTCGCAATCCTTCAGACTCCAGTTGGTGAGGTCCCGTTCTGATATTGCTCCATACGTTTGGGTATGAGTGTACTCCTTCGTTTGCGTGCCCACTCCTTGGCCGGCTGTCTTTCAGCCGGACCTCGGCGCCAAGTGGCTCTTTGTTGTCATCGTGATTTTCTACTACTGGTGCCCCCCTCGACTATGAGTGATCCGTCAAACTTCCCCAGCAATCTTCTCTCATCCAGCCCGGTTGAGCTGTTGCATCAAACCGCGCATTTGCGATGGGCGGTTGAGCGAGGCACTCGTATTCCCTCTGAGCCTCGTCAATAAGCCTGTAAATCTCGTCCATATCATGCGCCGTCCGCCTCTGCGGCAGCATCGTGACCTCACGCGGTGTCCCGCTGCTCTCAATCGCATCCGTGACCTCAAGCATGAGATCCTCCATCAAAGGTGACACGCACGGCGAGAAGTCCGACGAGATAGTCGACCTCGGACTCTCGGATTTTGTGCTGCTCTGGCTCAACTGCCGCCTCAGCGGCGTCACGTTTCTGGTCGCCGACACGGCCGCGGCGGCAGCTGACATGGCCAGCGCCTCGCTGCTCTGTGTCCGACATCTTTGCTGCAGCCTTGCACGGCGCTCTTCGCGGCGGGATCTGATGATGTCCCTCACGAGGTTGCCGTGCAGCTCGCAGTCCGGGGACGCTGCGTCGTGGAAGCAGTCTTTGCGGCCGCAGCCCTGGGCGAGGGCGTCGGCGTGTGTGACTCTTAGGTTGGGCATGCTGGGGCTCGGCCGCGCGACGGCCGCCCCGTGGGCGTTCATGTCCATGTTCATAATGCCGAGGCCGTTCATGTTGTGGTTGTGTGAGCTTCCGGTGGAAACGAGTCTTGACAATCTCCAAGAGTGTCGGCTGGAATATCGGACGGCTCCCGTTCTCTGTAGTGGTCACGCCGAGTATTCTTGTAACCCGAGATAGGTGCGCGCTAAGATGGAATGGTAAGTTGAAAAGACCAGGCCAAGAGTTTCCAGCAGCTCGGGAAGAGCGGCGGTTAATGTATGGCTTCACCTTTCGACTCCATGTAAATGCGAGCCCACGCGGCTTGCGTCGCCGATCGAAAACGAACACTTGCCTGAACCTTTTTTCCCGCTTGACCGCCGCCGCCTTTGAAGCAGGCTTGAGCCACTCCTGCGCTTCGTAACTGCCGTTCTTCTTAGCTCTCCCGTTTCAGAAGCGCGAGGCGCTGGCTGAGTCCGAGGGGAGTTGCTGCTAATCCTGGAAGCGGCGACACTAGGACAAAGGGCCCTTATGTACCATGTGGCTTTTGCTTACTTTGACGCCGCGCTGGGAATAAGTAAAGATACGGTAGAATGAAGGGAAAAGGTCCGGATGACACACGTGCGTAGAGAAAGACAGTGGAAAAAAGGGAAGCTGTTGTTGTGTAACTGTGTTCAATATAATAAGAAGTGTGTAATAAAGAAACGATGCCGAGATGTTTATGGTTCCCTGCTACTACACAACTACCAAAAACAAGCAAAAGCGCCTGACAGCCAGACAGTCCACTTGCCCCTGGTGATCGTGATGAGGAAGCGTTGTTGGTCACCCTGCTCCCCCAGAAACCCGGGTCTGAGCCTCCCTTGGAAATTCCAGTCTTCGTCCCCTAGGCTAATCTCCAGGAAACGGTAGCTCTGCGAACCTAATTGCATGCCAATCCTGCCCGCTCCGAAGGCTTTTACCCCCCAATCCTCGCAGCTTGCTACCCCACGATCCTTCGATGTCTGACAAGGCCGTATCTCGGCGTTCCTTGGTTCCAGAATACGTGAAAGCCCCCTCGGTGGAAATATTGTGTCTGGACCAAGTGAGGGGGGACAACCCGGTGCCGCAATGATGTGACTAGCCCGACGTCACAATCGTGACATTCCAGGCCGCGCCAGGCACGCCACACGCCGCATCTTTCATTCCTGCAACACCAATCTTGATCCCGCGATCAAATAACTCCGTGCCCTGTCCCATCGTGGGGGCAGAGGAGGGGGGGCCAGAAGCTGGCGCCGATCATCCGTCGTTTTCTTTCCCCCCTCCGCCATGCTTCTGTGACAGCTTTCCAACGCCCATGTCTGTGTCTGTGTTCCCGGCTAGTAAGACACACGAAGAAGTAAGGAAAATTGGTATCGATACAAGGGATGGTCCGTGAGATGAAATGTCAAGACAAAAAAGAAAATCAGTCACCGCCGGCCTCCGGAGGGATCTCCTTCCCCTTGATGACCGCGTCCGCGTATGAAGCCATCTCGGCTGCCCCCGCCGAGCGCCGCGTCGCGAACCACCACGTCAACGTGACGACGAGCAGCCAGACGCCCACCCAGGTGATGACCACGCGTGGAGAACGGCGCCTGCGCGGGGCGTACGGGGAGAAGGCGGCCATTTTCCTGGTAGCTGGGATGCTTCCTAACCGTAGGCGGCCAGTTTTGACGATCTCGGCCTCGTGGCGAAATATGTTCTGATGTCCGGTTTGGGGAGGGGGGGGAACTGGCGTGGGTTTTTCGTGATCGAAGGCTGGAAGGGCACAGCTCCAGACCTTTCGAGTTCTTTGTTGTTCTGTGATGTGGAAAATGATTGGTCGGCAATTGACAAGTCGGAACTCGTACAGCTGCTCAATCGGCCGAGAGTTTGAGGTGTGATGGGATTCTTGATTGCTTAACGAACGATGGAGGTTCAATGGTGGGACGTTGACGCCAGGTGTGCATCACACTGTGCCCATGCACTGTGATCGCCAGCAGCATTTCTCGACTGGAAACAACGGGCCTTTAATCTTGTTCCGGAGACTGGCTGACCACTTCCGCTTGTTAACGGTGTCTTCTGAACAGATCATTACCTGTTCCTCGATGAATCCGACTTCAAGAAGTATTCGGCGTCTTATTTTCAAACAGCTTGTTGCAAACATCGTGTTGATACTCAAGGGACTGATAAGTGTAGTGTGACTGCAGCCATGTGGCTCGTCTAGTACATTTTCGCGTGTAATTCACGTTTCTTTGCGCTTCCTGCGCTACCGCCGCCCAATTTGTTGTTGTTGACACCCAAACGCCATAAACCCAGCCCAAAAGTACTTACAAACGAATGCTCGCCCCGATTCCCTGGCCTTCGTACCAGACCGTTTCCCTCCAATTACCAATCCGAACCGATACATTCGCGCTGGCATCTAGCTTCAAAGCGCCTCCGATCGCTTTCCTCACGGCATCATAGCCCACTGATCCCATAGACCAGTCCACAGGCAACCTCGGCGTTTCCGACGTACCTGGCGGTGCCGCAAAGGGCAGGTCGTACAATATGTGGCCGACCTTCTCTGTGTGGTTGTAGTAGGCCGTCGCGTTTACCCAATCGACGTAAATAGTGTTGTAAGTCAACGGGGATACCAAAGTGAATGTCGCTGTCGAAGACAATACGTGGAACGTCGCGTCTCTAATGAAGTGACCCTTCTTCTTTCCATCTTCCTCGTCCCCGTCTCCAGGAAGGTCTAATTTGGGGGCGGCAATAGTGATGTTGAGTTTGGACAAGGCCTCGCCGATAATGGGGACCGACGGCAAAGTTCCCCGGTGTGCCTTCACGTCAAATGTGACGTTGCGTCCAGAAAGATATTCAGATATTAAATCGCTGGCGATCCTGCGACCAGCGTCGCCGTGGGTTGTGGGATCCCACTTGGCCGTGACGACCATGTTGGTGTTGTTACCCCGAACAACGTTGAGGTTCTCTGCCGTGGCGCTGCCAAGAATGGTGCCATCCTTCGCAATGTGAATGTTGACGTATGGCACAAAGGCAGAGTACGGCGTGGGATTTGTGATATTAACCAACGCCTCTAGCGTCAGTGACGTCTCAGAGGTGTCGATTATCTTGACGTCTCCAACCTGTGGACGAACGCTGCCGATCGCTTTGCCAGGCAAGGCTGCCAGAAGTCAGCTCTACCGTAACCAGGACTCATCGCGCTGGCAGGCAGGGACATATGAAAACAACCCACGATAAGACGAACAGCATCAAGAGCTAATACGGACGTTTTACTGGGATTTTGCCCTCAGCAGGGATGTCCTTCAGGACCAAATTCCCGAGGGCCGTGTTGACTTTGATGTCAACACCAGCCTTGACGTCAAGCATCACCTCCTTTCCGCCGAAGAGGAGCTTTTGCATGACGTCTGTCAACACGTCGCCGTCGGTAATGTTCAAAGGGGCGTTCTCGACGCGAGAGGTGATCTTAAGAAGCGGCTCCTTCTTCTTGGCGTCTTCGATCTTGGTAGAGTTGGCAGCTTGCCACTTCTCGAGGTTCAGCTCTCCGAGCTTCCTGTGCTGATACATGACGTCGGCTGTCGCTCGCATGTTGGTCACGTTGATGTCGAAATTCATCTCCTTTGGCAGACCGGCGAGAACCTGGACAGTGCCAGAAACTTTGGGGTTTCCGTCATCATCATCCGGGTCCGCCATCGGATCAGGGAGTTGAAAATTCACATCGGTAAGAGAGAAGCTCTTGATGAGGTTATCGAACCCTTGGCCGGGGAATGGCACAGGTACCATAATCTCTGACAAGATGTCTCCGACCCAGCCAGGGGTCTTAGAATCAGGAACCTTCCGCCCACGAACGTAGACAGTCGCAGCCTCGCCATGCATGTACTGGTCCAAGAACTTGTCCAATGGTGACGACTTCGAATTGGGACATACCCTCGTGAGGTCCTTGGGAAGCTCCCGGATGATACCCGATACGTTGGCGGTGACCTCGGCATGCGGTCTAATAGTGAGGGGTTCGGTGGTGGCGTCGGCCACAAGAATGTAGGGGTCAAAAGAGTTGCAGTTAGGAATGAGAACCTCGAATCCTAGCTCGGGCACATCAAGACTGATTGGATACTCATTGAACGCCGTGATGGCAACGTCGGCGCCAACGGCTGATCGTCCATCGGAATCTGGCACGTCTCGGAAGTTGAGTCTCGAGACATTGTACGTCGGCAGCGAGGGTATTTGTTTCGCTATACGAGGTATTAGTTTGGTGTGTTTAAGCAAAAATACAGCAAAGCGTGATCAATTCAAAGCAGAACTTTTTCTCCAAAATACAACGAAGCAAAGGAGCGATAGAGTGATTGACCTTCAAACGTCAAGATCTCGCTGACCGCGTGAGTTCCGAGCGGGAGGATTCCGGACTTGAGTGGGATATCGGCCTTTCCGAGCACCTTCAGCTGATCGAGCTTCCCATCCAGCCACTCGTTTGCGACTTTTCGATACGCTTCCGCATCTCCGGGCGACAACTCGGCGACAAAGTCCACCTTGGTAGTCTGACCGTCTACGATGCTGATTGAAAGCGGCGGTACCACGGCGGTGCCAAGCAAAACGTCGTTGTACTCTGGCAGGTAGACGCCGACCTTGGTCTGTTCGGTCCCAAGCGCCCTTACAATCCAGGTCGTCAACTTTCCTATCCTTCGAGAGGTGGGATCCTGGACTCTGGACCCGTCGAGCTTGAAGTTGGCCTGCACTCGAGCCCGTACGCCATTGGTTGTGATGGACTCGAGGGAGAGATTCGTCGGCTCGACTACAGCGGCCTGCTTAGCGTATTCCTCCACTGCTGCCGGGACGAAGAAAGCCACAAGCATGATGCAGACGGCCAGCGTCGCAAGCACGACGATGGAAATGATGGAGGCCCATGGCGTGGAGCTCTTCTTCTCCTTGAGCGATGTGTGCGATGAATGCGACCCGGCGAGCGAGGCACCGGAAATGGATGGTGGCGGTTGAGGACTTCGACAGATTTCGCAACAGAAGCTCGCCTTGTCGGGGTCGTCTCGTTCGCCGTCGTATCTAGGAGTTCCAGAAGAGCCGGACAAGAGCGGGGCCGTCTCGGACATCGAAGAGTCGTCTTCCGCCTTTCCTTTGCCCTTGGGCGTCAGGAGCGGTGTTCGTTCAGTTTCGTCGGACATTGCGAATCGAGGGGGATTCTGGTTGTGTAAATGGCGGATTATCGTAGGAGGATGGCCGTCATCGCCGTAGACCAGTGGTATTGGAGACAAGAAAGACTAACAAAAGGAAAAGGTTACAGAATGCAGAGGAAAAGGGCAGCTGAGTTTCCGATCTTGCCCAGGGATTCGGGATTCGTAATGCGTGATGATGTCAAATAACTTGGTTCATCCTGGGGAAGCGCAGCTGGGCTGGCAGTGCTGCTGAAGAGACAGGGCAGAGCCGAAGAGGTCACCTGAAACCAATGAGACGAGGTCTAGTCAGCTGGGTGAGTTGGACACAGGGAACCTTTAGGTCGAAGGGGACGGCCGAAGTGTGGATGGCCCGGGGCGGGGATGGGGATCATGTTCCCTTCTTGAGAGCTTGGATTGGAGTGCCTGACCAGCATATGCACGGCCCACCCTCCTCCTCAGGCACGCATGCGCAGCGTTGCGCAGCACCGCAACCATTTCCTCAGCCGTGTCTTGTACTGAAAATCCTCTCCACAATGCGCCGTCGAGCTGCTGACAGCTGCTGCTTCCAGCACGCTCCGGTTGCGGCCGTTTCACCGGTCCGGTCTGGGCTCCTGCATGAGCTGCCCGCTGTCAGGTCTCCGCCTGTAGCATCGCTGTGAGCCGCATCGTCGTCTGCCCTACAGCCCGCTGAATTTGCAGGGTTTGGAGAGCGATTCCGAAATTTTCGGTGTGAAGCGGTGAGAACCGCGCACTGTCTGAATGGGTCCGAGTTTGCTGCACCTGCGCGGGAAGGGCTTGTGGGGTTCATGTAGCTATCGTCTTTCATTGAAGCTATCCAACAGTGACTCAACCTTCTTTCTAAATACACCAATTGACTCCCACCGCGACTCACTGAGATCGGCAACTTACTGAGTCCGTCTTATCAGAAGCTTGCTTTAATATCTGTGGCCTCAGCATATCAGCCCGAATCCGTTCGCGGTTGTCTCAAGCTTCTATTCCTCTCACCCAGCCAGCTCGAGTCATTTGAATCACCCATCATGAGGCAACCTGCTTTCCGTGTCACCCGTCAAGCCTTCAACGGCCTCCAGAGCCGGGCTTACTCACGATCGGCCGGTCCCCGTCATCTGATGTCCATTGCGGATCTCACTCCGGCTGAGTTCGCTACCCTCGTCCGCAACGCCGCTTCCAACAAGACCGCCGTCAAGTCCGGCAATGTGCCCCCGGCTCTAGCTTCAGGCCTGAAGGGCGAGACTGTTGCCATGATGTTCAGCAAGCGCAGCACTCGTACCCGTGTATCGACAGAAGCTGCCGTGGCTATGATGGGTGGCCACCCCATGTTCCTTGGCAAGGATGACATTCAGCTTGGAGTGAGAAGCACAAGTCCTTGGACCCGAGTGACACTAGACTAAATCTCGCATAGGTCAACGAGTCTCTGTATGACACCTCAAAAGTCATTTCGTCCATGACCTCCTGCATGGTTGCCCGTGTTGGCCCTCACTCCGACGTCGCTGGACTGGCCAAGGATTCCAGCGTCCCAGTCATCAACGCCCTGTCCGATGACTACCACCCTCTGCAGATTATCGCCGACTTTTTGACCATCCACGAGTCCTTCCCCGCCTCCAAGATTTCCGACAAGGCGGACCTTGGTGTAACGGGATTGAAAGTTGCCTGGATTGGTGATTCCAACAATGTTCTCTTCGATCTCGCCATCGGGTGTGTCAAGATGGGAGTTGACATCGCCGTCGCCTCTCCTACCGGCTATGGCATCCCCAACGCCATGAAGGCTGTCGTTTCCTCCGCTGCCAACGGAGTTTCTTCTCCCGGCAAGCTGAGCGAGACTACCATTCCTGAGGAGGCCATCAAGAACGCCGACATCCTTGTCACCGACACCTGGGTATCTATGGGTCAGGAGGCTGAGACACAGAAGCGCCTCAAGGCATTTGCTGGCTACCAGATCACCAACGACCTGGCCAAGCGTGGCGGTGCTAAGGAAGGCTGGAAGTTTATGCACTGCCTGCCTCGTCATCCTGAGGAGGTGCACGACGAAGTCTTCTACAGTGACAGGTCTCTCGTTTTCCCCGAGGCGGAGAACCGCTTGTGGGCTGCAGTTTGTGAGTTTCGTGCCCTGGTCCGTACAAACTCGACACTAATAATCACGCAGCTGCGCTCGAGGGCTTCGTTGTCAACAAGGGCAAGATCTAATGGGATAGGTTTGGCGTTGCACGGTCACAGAAAAAGGCGAGGCGTTCTTCAAAAATGGTACAGATTGTGTAGTAACTTAGTAGCATTGAAAGATGGCAATACCGTTTTACCAACGCCGGATATTTCCTAAAATATTGTCTCTTAACCAGGGGGGAGCTGGCTAGCGTCAACAACCTCATCCGCCTCCTTAAGAATCGTCTCCTCGTTCGGGCCGTACAGTGGCGAACGGGGAAGGGCCATCAGGCCAGTGCGGGCGGACTCAAGAATACCGAAGGGTCCGATGAGCTTCAGGAAGGAGTCGATCCTTGTGGGCTTAGCAGAACTACGGGATTGTCAGTAAAGGCATCTTATCATGAGCAGGGGTCAACTTACATCTCTACGATACAGCTGTTGGTGCTGATATCCAGAACCTTGCCACCAAACTGGTGAGCGAAGTAGGTAATGGACTTCAAGTGCTCGTGCTTGTGGCGGAGAGCCTGGGAAGCAGCCAACTTGCTAGGATGGAAGTCCTTGGCGATCTCCTCCAAGCTTTGCGACTCGATGGCGCCCTCGGGGTGCTCAACGTCGGCAGCCGTGATCTCACGGTGGTGAGCCAACAGCTCCTCGAAGTACTCGGGTCCCAGGATATTGATCTTGGCAAGCAGAAGCTCACGCTGGACCAGAGCAGCGCTGGTGTAGTCCAAGACGGCCCAGACGGGGACGAGATCCTCCAATTGGCGGCGGGCCTGCTCGACAACGCCGTCCTGTCCGGTCAGGACAATGGTCATGCGCGAGAGATCCTCAACCTCGGTACTGCAGACAACGAGCGAGTCGATGTTGAAGCCGCGGGCAGCCAGAATACCGGAGACGCGGGACAGCACACCGGGCTCGTTCTGGACCAAGCAGTTGAGAATATGGCGCTTCGGGGGAGCCATCGACGGGGAGGGCGTCTCGTAGAGGATGTTGGAGACAGCGGCCTGGGCGGACCATGCCGGCGGGCTGTCGCTGACGGGGAGAGGAGCGGCGCGGCGTCGAAGTGCCTTGTATGCGATGGCTGAGGTCGAGCTGCTAGAGGAGCTCCAGCGGGCGGCGGCAGCGAGCGGGACCGCTTGAGGTGCCTGGGTGGCCCTCCATAGTGAGGTGGAAAGTAGGCGACGAGACGCCATCTTCTCTGATCAATTGCGAGAACAACCAATTGCTCTCGTGATCAGAAAAAAAGACCAAGCTCTCAGCCTGAACTTGAGTGTGAGCTCGGGGTTCAATGGCCGGACAGATAACGGACTGACTCACCGTGTGTCAAGTTCCACTGGGAAAATTTGAGGAGAATTTGGGGGTGATAGATCGGAGGCAAGTCGGAGGCAGGGAAGCAGGCCATTCGCAGGGGTCGTGGAGCACGGATCAGCTACCGACAGGGATTTTCACCGAGCGAGTGGGAACGCTGCATCGCGGGGTCGGTTGGAGGGTGCGGGGTTACATCCTACACTGTGTCGGAAGCTGACCTGTGGTAGAGGTTGCATAGTAATCCGTTCGTCAAATAAGTGTCCGGTTTGTGTTCAGTCTTTGATGCAACCATGGGTTGAGTGTGCACGATGCTCTCCTGATCATGTGGTTGACGGACAAACACAAAAGGGACTCCGTGGATCATGACTCTCTCCTCAACTAGATCTCCAGACTTACCGTCTAGATGCTTGAACTAGCATTGACATGGCCTTGGGAAGTCCTGAAGCATCGTATCTGATGGCCAGCGGAACAGTGCACCGCTCGCGCTGAGTTCTCCTTCCTGAAGTGCACCATGACTCATGTTGACCATTCTTGGTAGTCAGAGGATTGGGTCATCATAGAGGAAAGACTCAATTGAGAACATCAAATCTTGATGTCTAGTGTTTTACTGGGAGTAGCGTCGATGCTTAGCGGGCGTTCGTCCCACTTGCCGATTGCCAACCGGACCGAAGTCGGCGCTGGTGCATGACTGTCACTGATTTAAGAGCAGTAAATGTCGACTCCAATGGCCAAGGATGGTTACAAAACCTCAGGAGGTAATGTTCTGCTAGTGGTACCTTAACTGGGCTGATTTCTATTATCGCCGGGCAACTGAATGAATAAGGTATTGGGCAGTGAATGCAGACGATGACAGAGGCTACAATCGAACACCTTACTCTGACATCAACATTTTCTGCTTGTTCTGGCACTAAATCAGCGAAAATGGTGTCATCCGGAATTCCATGCGGAATATTTCTTTCGTCAGCAATGTCTCATTTATTTTCGTGGCTAGTCCCTAAAATGACTGTCAACTACGTCTGACTCTCTAAGAGCCGCCAGGGACGGCAGGGACCGTGATGAAGTTGCGACCGGCTAACGCACAGACCAAGCCACTACACGTCGGCCTGTCCATCTCGTAAGGCTCCACCTCCAAAGAGCTTCAAACCTCGTAAAATTTCCGAGTCGTCCTTTTTCACGAACAACCGACTGGCGTCTGTCGCGTTGTTTACACGTGTTGCCAGGACAAATCCTTACATTCTTCACCGCAAACAACGGTGTTACCGCATCGACATATTACAATGGACGACACCGAGCGACGTTCCGCCAAGCGCTCGCGCTTCGACCAGACCGAACCTGAGCCGCGCAAGGCTTCGAGATTCGATCGTCGTTCCCGATCTCCTCCCGCAAAGCGCCCGGAATCTGGCAGAGATCGCAGCCCGAATGCGAATGACCCTGCGACGGAGCCCAAAAAGTCGCCCGTGGACGCCGCAGCCGCGGCCGGTACGCGACCACTCTTCTCTTTATGAACCTTGATGAAAGACTAACCAGCCACCAGCTGCTGCCGCTGCGCGCATCAACGCGCAACTCCAAGCGAAGAAGGGCATCCAACACGTCGATGTCCCCCCGATCAAGACCGCGACTCCCGAAATCAAAACAGAGGATGGATCACCGGACCCGGCCAACACGATCAATGGCGAGATGTACATTGCCGACGGAGACTACATCAAGGACATCGAAGTCAACGACCTCCGCAACAGATACCTCCTGACCAAGGGGTCGACTCAGAAGATGGTAAATACTCCTGTGCAAAAACCACTGATCATATTTCCTTCCCAGGTTTCGCCTCGGGCGCATTCCGCTTCCCTTCCTATCCATTGATTTGTGTCGAGATCATCCTGCTTACCAGGACGATAGATCACACAGATCACCCCTCTTTGGCACCTGCTGACTCCATTTGCTTGATTTAGATTAAAGAAGAGACTGGTGCTGGTACGCAACGCCTCCCAATTTACGTCGTTAGGAACGAAAGTTGACTTTGAAAGATGTTACTACCCGAGGAAGCTACTATCCCGACAAGAGCATGGCAACGGCTGCGGTCAGTCCCGTTACCACTGTCTACCAGTTCATTCGCTAACGATGGTCCAGAATCCCCCCTTGTACCTTCACGTGACGAGTACATCAAAGACGGGTCTCGAGCAAGCTGTGGCCAAGATTGAGGAACTCATGAAACAGGAACTCCCGGCGTTGGTCGACGAGCGCCGTTTTCGTCGTCGTGACCAAGAGCAGGTCGAGAGAGATGAATACGGTCGTGTACGTATGACCTGGCGATTAAATTTCATTGGCTAATGTTCCGCAGCGCAAATGGCCCGAGGAGAAGATCCCCATTGGCTTGGAGTCGGTCCCCGGATTCAACCTGCGTGCTCAGGTTGTTGGACACGGCGGTGCTTATGTCAAGCATATCCAGCAGGAAACCCAGTGCCGTGTGCAAATCAAGGGCCGCGGTTCTGGATACTTGGAGGCTGCCACTAACCGTGAGAGCGACGAGGACATGTATCTGCATGTGGCGTGAGTAGCCGCCGACCCCCCCGCTCATCAAGAATTCCGCTAACCAACTTACAGTGGACCTGATCCGAAAATGGTCGAGAAGGCCAAGGAGCTCTGCGAAGACTTGATCGCCAACGTCAAGGATCAGTACGAGGAGTTCAAGAGCAGGCCTCCCCGTGGATACGGCGATCGCGGCGGCTATGGAGATCGCGGCGGCGGCTATGGCGACCGTTCGCGGAACCACGATGGTGGACACGGCGGACATGGCGGCGGCTACCAGGGCTATGGCGGCGGCGGCTACAACTCTGGACACGGAGGACACGGCGGCCATGGTAGTCACGGCGCTGGACAGTCAGCCAGCCCAGCTCCTGGCGGCTCTAACAGCCCTGCCGCTGGAGCCGACTATGCTGCTCAGTATGCCCAATACTACGGTGGACAGGACCCCTATGCTGCTTATGGTGGTTACGCCGCGTACGTCCAGATGTACCAGCAATACTACGCCGCTGCGCAACAGCAAGCGCAAGGTTCACCCGCGCCTCCTGGAGCCTCGCCGCCTCCGCCCCCTAGCGAGGCTGCTCCCCCCCCACCTCCTCCGCCAAGCTCTGCTCCTCCGCCCCCTCCTCCGTCGGGCTCTCCCCCGGGAACCGGAGGCTATGGTGCAGTAAGTTCTGTCCGTATTACATCTGACAATGAAATTGCAAACTGACGTGAGAAGGTGCCTCCCCCTCCCGGTCTATAGGAAATAAGTCATAAGGATGGCGTAAGAAGTGTCGATTTTAAGATTGAAATCCGTCCGACAGGGCCCGGTTGTGTCCTACTGAATGGGATACCGCTGGGTACAGGGCTGGAGTAGTTGGACGCGCGTTAAATTGTACATGATCATACAGGTAAAATAATAGGAATAACCAATGCATTCGAAACAGGATACGCCCCTGATACAATACACGTGCTTCCCTCTGTTCCGGAAAGCGTGGAATATTCACGCTCTGTAAGATAGGACGACGCCTCTGTTGACGATTGTAGTATGGACTTGATGCTTGATGTGTTGCCTTGCTCGTATGACATGCGTGCTGTCGTTTTAGGCTTCCTTGGCTTAGTGCTTAACGTCTACATTGACAGCCGTATGTCAATGGGATATGGAGGAACATGGTTTAGCGACCGATCTCAGGAGAGGTAAGAATTACAAAAAGCAAAAGCTCGGGAGCGGATTTGAACCTCGACCCTGCGAAACCAGCATTCGGATTTCATACCAAGTTCTCACTAACGGACCAGAGCGTTATACCTCTAGGCCATTTGGCCTATCATCGGGCTTGGTTGACGTGAACGAAGCTGGAGTTGAACCAAAAGGCAGCTGCAACCCAGTGGGTGGTGGATAGCTCAGGAGACTGCTCCTTCCTCCTTAATGTTGGACATATCGAGCTGGTCACAGTCCTTCCATGATCAAGGCATCCCGGCAGCGATCAGCAGCTGCAAGTCTTCTGCCATGAGCTTGATGACACTGTATTGTACCGCCTTCTTCCTCCACTGCTCGCATTATATTCATACGGCTGTGCTGCTATAGACCATACTAGCAGCAAGTCAAATAGTGCGATCATCAACTAATCAGATCAAAGGCTCGTGCGTATAAAAAGTGCGAAACTCGGTGGAAGAGGTACATTTAGATTAGACGATTTTCGGGTGGTGTACTCTCAATAAAAGGGTTGGATCCTCAATGTAAGTGACAGGCAGCGTCTGCAACTTTGAAACTCCGATTCTTGATCACTCACTCCACATAAAGTTAAACAGCACCTGAGGGGTTGGTTATTTGGGATGGGCAAGTAGCTCATGCAAAGCCCATCAGAGCGGTTGCTCATCCGTCCTCTGTTTCCTTTGTAAATCCCACGAAGCTCCGATGACAGCATATTTCAGTTGAACGTAATGAAACTAGCATAATGAGCTAAGCTGCAGGATTCAAATTAGAATGGAATTTCCTCATCAACTTTTTTGGGTTGATATCCTCATGCCGTCCTCGTGTTATAAGCAACCACCTATCGACGTCAGACATGGAGTTTACTCCGATCACAGTGCGCCTCGCACCAATCCACAGCGAACCACACCGAACGCGGGGAAGCTCCGCCGAAGGGAAAGGGACCACGCGCGCATCGTCCTTATCGATAACGGAACATCGGGGACAGAGGCCCACTACAGCTCCGTCATTCCAATTCCACAGACGATCCACGTCTCGTCTCCAAGTCGCATCGTCCTTGTCTCTGATATCACCAACCCAAAGTCGACTCCCTCCGACCTGGTCAACATGAGCCACCAAAGATACCCCTCCCACGACCCGCTCAAGGAGCCTCACTCCGTCTCCCTCAAAGTCCTCAGGTGCGCATCATATCGAATGACGAAACAACCACACATCTGACACGCGACGACAGGCTCTCCCGCCCATCACTAGTAATCCAGCACCCGATCCGCCCGCCTCTCACGCCCTCCCACGTCCCCGCAGACCCGGCCCCGGCCTCGCTCGCCTACGACACCACCGCCGCGACGAACCCCGCCCCCTTCCTCCTCTCCCCGATCCTCAACCTGCCCCTGAGCTTCGGCTCCGCCTACGTCGGCGAGGTCTTCAGCTGCACCCTCTGCGCGAACCACGACACGCTCGAGCCGCCGCCGGGCACGAAGCGCAAGGTCATCCGCGATGTGCGCATCGAGGCCGAGATGAAGACGCCCGGGCAGGGCGGCGCGGTGCAGAAGCTGGAGCTCACGCCCGCAGACCCGGATGACGCCGCGGAAGGCAAGGGCACCGACCTCGAGCCCGGGGAGACGCTCCAGCGGATCGTCAACTTCGACCTGAAGGAGGAGGGCAACCACGTCCTCGCGGTGACGGTGAGCTACTACGAGGCCACGGAGACGTCGGGCAAGACGCGCACGTTCCGGAAGCTGTACCAGTTCATCTGCAAGTCTTCGCTTATCGTGCGCACAAAGATCGGCCCGCTGGCGTCGGCGAAGAACGGCGGTGCTCGGAAGTGGGTTCTCGAGGCGCAGCTGGAGAATTGCTCCGAGGACGTCATCCAGCTGGAAAAGGTGCTGATCGACCTGGAAGAGGGGCTGGGGTACACGGACTGCAACTGGGAAGAGGGCGGCGGCGTGGCACGGCCGGTGCTGCACCCCGGAGAGGTGGAGCAGGTGTGCTTCGTGGTCACCGAGGCGGACGGGGCCCATGCCGAGCCCGGAGAAGACGGCAGGATCATGTTCGGGGTGCTGGGTATCGGGTGGAGAGGGGAAATGGGAAACAGGGGCTTCCTGTCGACGGGCAAGTTGGGCACGCGGCACGTAGCGTGACGCGAGGCTGCGGAATCACGTTGAAGCCTTTATTTCAGTTGAGGCGGCCTCAAGGGGGGCTCGCGGCGGTTCCAGAGACAGCGGCACAGGTTGGACGTCACGTACGCGGGAGGCGGGCAGGCTGGGCCGCGCAGCCGGGCGGGCTTGTTTCTGTGCGTGGAAGGGCGGCTTTTGGGACCCGTGCTCTGTCGAGCTGAAAAAACCTCATCGGGCCGGCTGTTCAGATTGTTGCTGCTGAGAAGTGGGAAATATTTGCACGGTTGCCAGCTGTCTAACCGTCGGCGTCCGGGGCGAGCGTCGCGTCGTGTATGCAGAAGCACGTCGGGCTGATCCCTTTGCGCATGGGAAGGAGGAGGGAGTCAGGACGAAGACCCTGAAGGTCAAACACGATGGCGTCGGAGAAGGATTTCTCGCAATGAGGTTGGAGACGAAGGCATTGCGAGCAGAGAGCAAAAGCCACCAAATACCATGATTACTCCGAATCACAAGCACTTCTCATCGCGCTCAGATGCGCCACCGAATCTGCACCAACGTGCCATTACCTCCTGAATCCCTGAGACGTGCCAAAAATGTCAAGAGTGGCTGAAGAGTGACAGCTCTAGATCCAGTAGTGCATCCCAGATCTCAAAACTCTAACGGGCGCCCTGAGACTACCGACAAACGTTTCCTTAGCCCCAGTTCATCGGTTTCCAGGATCGCCCTTCATCCAGTTTCGGTCCTTTTACGTACGGGAATAGGGGTCGCAGAGGCAACTCACAGCCGCGGCTGCACCAAAGCACCTCACTGGCATGAGCAACGAGACTCCCAGACGACGAGTTATCACGTTGCACAGAATATGTATAGGCTAATGGGACCTGCAGCGTGGAAGCTGTCGTGCCCTTCGTCCGAAACGGGAATCTGGTTCTGCAGCCCGTGTAGTCTGCAGCCGCCTTGCATGAGAAGGATCGACACCTGGCTTCATCGAAATCAATTTTTCCCCCCTGATACGACCGAGCCGTTGTTGAGGATTGATTGGGGTAGAATTGGTTGGAAGACCGAGGACAAACCCCTTGGACCATCTCGCAGGGGAGAAAAAAGCAATGAGCAGTAAAGCCCGTCGGGTTTGACTTCTCCATTCCAGGATGGGCCTGCTGAAATTGATCTAAGCAGCGACCGCTCTGCGGAGGTCTGTACGCGATCTTGGTGTCAGCCGTCGACGACCGTGCTAGATCTCAGCTATGAGACTAGCGTGGAGGACTCAGGCCACTTGAGCTAACATGACGCAGACCGGTGCGGAACTGCCTGCAAGACGTGGTGCCTGGGTGTGTTGTGAGCTGAGAGGACAAGGTCAGATAGATGCCAGAGGGCATTTGGATGGCTTCGTGGCCACGAGCTGGATTCTCAGCCCGCATGTCAGGTACAGCAGCCTCTCCTGTTAAACGTCCAGAGTAGCCAAATCCGGCGAGATGATGAGTTGCCATCGCGTGTCAGGGGCAAATACAGATAGGCCAGGCCGACAGGTGCCAACCATTCTGTATCCCGTAAGGTGGCATGCGGCATGGTTTAAGTCGGTATGTAGGCGAGATCTGAAACAAAGGCTTCTTCATACCTATTCTGGCTGGCTACAGAATAGGAGTCTGCAGTGGCTGACCTTCCCGTGGAGCCGTCCCAAGGTTGCTGGATAGAATCCTGTCCAGGGGGGCCAAGCAGCAGGGCATCTGTGTTCCTACCCAACAGACTACTTGAGTGGACTAAGATGCTCCGAAAAAGTGCGCCGGCGGTGATGCGGGTCTGTTGGAATGAACCCTTTAGGCTTCGTGGATTACTCCAGGTTCTGGGGTCGAGCAATCGACTCACCCAAGAAGAAATTCCCCAAAGATTTTACATGGGGCACCTGGCATACCGAGCATTTGAGATTTTGAGTGGCATCGTGGGCAATTGCCGGTGTTGCTTTTTGGCGCTGATGACGACTGTCCCAGTTCCGCGACGGGTTCCCGGCGGCGGAAATGGCCAGTGAGCGGCGAGCAGTGCGCACCAAGAACCACCCACAGACAGTTGAAGCTGTGCGCCGATCCTGGTCCGTCATGTTCGACATCTCGGGCCCACGATCGGCCATGGGCCGTGATATCAGGCGTCTTAAGACTGGGACGATCTTTTTCTCTGTGCGCTAGCAGAGGCTGATTTTGGAAGATTTTCTGCTCTGTGTCCCGTTCTGGCAGCCGTGTAGGGGAGCAAGGGCTCAACTGATTTTCTGTCGAATATCAGGAAATACCTGGTTGCCCGGCATGCCTGGGAGCGCTGGGAGGCCGGCGGAGCGGGTGAAGAGCCATTCACGGCGAGGAGGCTCGGGCAGGTTACCGTTGACGGGCCCTTTTGAAACATGCGAATGCATGCTAAGCCAGGCCCTCACATTAGAGCCATGCGGGCCATGTCGGTCGACAAGCAGGTACGGCAAGGAGGATGATTTTGATAGATGCCGCCTCGGGGCGAAGTGCATCTGGCGGGCAAGGAAGCGAGC